TTGTGTTAAAATTTGTAGAGACCCAAAATATTTTTCTCACAGTAATAGCTTCCAGTTGCTCTTCAGTCTAAGTAGGATCTGAAGCAGTGACCGGGAGATGAAAGTCTCTCTATGCCATTTTCAATCCCCTGAGCCATCTAGCCACTTTCTGCATTTATTTTTCAGAAATTAATTTTTAAAAAAAGCAATTGTTTTTGCAAACAGCCCTTTGAATTCCATCCCAGTGGCATTTTAGAGCATTATTGCAAATTATTCAATTTATATGCATAGTCAAGCCTACATCATTATTCCCATATTCTAATAAGGCAGGAAGAGACACAAAAGCACTTAGAAAAGACAGACAAGAAAAACAAAGGCAAAAACCAGACCACTATTCTAGAAAAATATTTTTCACCAGGCTGAAAACAAACTTAAACCCTCTTCATCAAGGTGATCTTTTTTAGAAAGTCATTGTAAGGAAAGATTTAAATGACTGCCGTAAAACTCAGAAGATATACTGTATTATGAACACTAATTAATGCAAGTATTAATGTTTTTGGCTTCAGATGAGATGATCCAGCATTCTTAAAAATTAATAAAAATGATTACGGAGACTTACGCACATACCTGAACATGTTCCAACTTAGCAGCCATTCATTATTCACAGAATAATAGGCTGTTCATTTGCATCCTGTGAATTTCAAGGCCTTTTAACTACATACGTATTACTTTCTCATATATGTTGCTTTGCAGTCCATGCCTCTGATGGGAAAGATAAAGTAATGCAGGCACGATTAGCCCCAGAAAAAGCGTAAGGCATGGCACTATTCCTCCAGCACATACCAACTGTTTAATGGGTTCAGTGTTCTTCCCAGATTGTACACCTGATCCTCTGGAGATGTCCAGGTGTGAAACCGTGATTTCCCCATCCTCTTCGTTTTGATTTGAATGTACAATGGACCCGAGTCCAGCCAATGGATTCCCCATTGCTGTTGAAAATGTTGTGGTAATTCAAATTCAGAAATGCTGCTGAAAAAAGAAGTGAGAAAGTACGCTCTGGTGGAGCTGAGAGTTCCCAGCCTGTAAGATGTTATGATACGTGCTCAAAACCTAGGGCAGATTTATACGTGTCAACAAGTGCGTGAGTATTAATGGCATCTTTTTTCAATCACAATCAATTAGAGAAATGAATGAGTTTTCTCTGGGGCTGTGCCAAATTAACTATATGGACAACCCCCCTTCATTTCAGCTAAGAAGAAAGGCAAGTTTGATGCTTTTGGCTTGAAGTATTTGAGCTTGCTGAGACCTGTGAAAAGACATTGAATAAAACCACAACAGGAGGAGTTTGAGGGGGAGTAAGAGCTTCAGCCATGCCCCCAGAGGAGCGGTTTCAGCAAGGTGCTCCGCATCAGCTTTCCTGTTTGCTGTGTGCTGAGAAACACAGGTTTC